CAAGGAATTAATTCTCTGTTTCCCATGAGCAGATGTTCAGCATATCCAGGAAAGCAGGGCCCCATCACATGGAATGGTTCCTTGGGAAGACAAACACCATCGCTACAAATGTCCCCTCTTCCTTCTTCTTCCTCCCACCTTATATACTGAGCATGATGTCGCCACTGTACTGTGAGGAAAGTTAACTCTACCCCAGACAAAACCAGTACATCATGTTTGTTTGTTACATTTCTTAATGCACTCATGAAATTAAGTTTAAATCACAGAGTATATTCTCATGTAAATTTGAAAGACACAAATGGACTGTGAGACCTGTTCAACAGGTAACACATCTGCAGATTAAAATACGTCTGTAACTACAGGGCAAAAAATGGTGTTGAGTTAACTCTACCCCAGACAAAACCAGTACATCATGTTTGTTTGTTACATTTCTTAATGCACTCATGAAATTAAGTTTAAATCACAGAGTATATTCTCATGTAAATTTGAAAGACACAAATGGACTGTGAGACCTGTTCAACAGGTAACACATCTGCAGATTAAAATACGTCTGTAACTACAGGGCAAAAAATGGTGTTGAACTCTGTGTATGCTGCAGGGCTCAATTCTGACTTCACACACAACAATATGTAGCTCCCAATTTGGTTTAACATGAGTTTGAATAAGCAGCATCTTCTGGAAACCACTGCAAACCTCCCCAGTTGCTGAAAGACATTAGGAACCTAACTAGCAAACAAAGCACTTGGAAGGGTTGGTGGGGATGGAGGGGCAGTTCATTAAATTTTAGGAAGTCATTTAATTAGGCACATGGGCATGGCCTTGCCAGTGTACAGTACTCTGAGTTTAGACTACAAATTTAGTACTAGTGATAATAAAATGTGCATTATTTCCATCTGTAATTCAAAAATGTTATGCTTATTGAAATAATATGCCCATCTTAAGCCAATGGACTAGAATTAGTCCCAAGTATACCTACTGTTCTTAATAGGAAAAGAGGAAGATACCTAAAAGTAACTCCTTGAGCAACAGAATTCAGATTTCTGTTGAACAAAATTTGTTTATTATTGAATAAAAACATTAACTGATTTGGGGGAAAAAAATAAAAAGACAGCATTCTGAGAGCCTCCACAAATACTGTGGGGTGGGAGATGAATTCACCTGCTACTTGCACATTTACAAAGCTTTCCACACTTCTGTTTAGCCCAGCCCACTGAATTGTTGCGACAAATGACATCAGGAGAATCAGAAGCAGATGGAGCATTACAAACCTCACTGGTTTAACAGAGAAAGCCAAAAGGGGGAACATAAAACAATTTATGTTTGGGTTTTTTTCTGGTCACACACAGGAATAAGAGCTTTTGTTTTCTTTGTTTATAAAATAAACCTCATTTCACTGCAGTCGACACTAATCAAGCTGTTTCTCTGTATTCCGTGCATGTAGTATTTGCATAATTTGAACAGGCACAGTAGCACAATTGATTTAAAAGTAACACAAGTATCTGTAGCCAGCCTGCAGCTCTTTCTATTCTAAAAAAATGCACAACGTAAGTTTTCATATATGTCTGCCTGTCCTCTGTATTTCCAAGATTAAAGCTTTGGTCTAGAATCAAAATACTGAGGGGTTCAATAGTACCATCTCCATTAAATTAAACGAAAAACCATGGACTTCAGAAATACAAACATCTGTATTTTTTCTACATATTTCAGGCAAGAATGTGACAGAAAGCAAACCGGCAGTTCTCTCTTCATACTGCACTGTATTTTTTATAAGTGAATGCTACACCAGGAATAAACCACTTTGTAGCACCGGTTTTACTGGTGTGACTTAAATTCTTATCTAACCAGAAACGTGGTGCTTTGCAATGGCAAATGGGTAAGCAAATACTCTTACCTTCTTTTTTTTCATACTCAGAGTTTAAAACTGACCTCAAAGTTAACTGTGGTATTCACAGACACAAAATAAACCAAAACTAAGCCAAGCATATCAAAGGGCTATTGCTTCAGCAGCAAACTCCCGAAGTCACCCAGTCCAGTGGTCTGGAGTACACACACCCACGATTTTGCTACAGGCAAATTACACCCAAAAACTATGAAGACCTTCCTACAGCTCCTACTCTAGACACATATTTAAATGATACTTGGACACCAAAGTTGTTCTATCACTGGGGTTATTCCAAGTGACAAAACCAAAAATCTATTTATACATTGGCTGGAAGTCCTATACCTCCCAATCAAAACAAAACCCAGAAGACCAAAATCCAGGGTTTTCAGCTCCCAGGATTTATAATAAAAACCCCAAACTTTTTAATTTTACTAAACCTAAGGTTACCTTGTGCTTCCATTTCTCAAAAACAGCTTATGCTTCTCAGTAAGGCAGACACAACTCTTTCTGTCTGAGATACAAGAACACAATTGCTCATTGGTGCGTGTTTCAGATTGGACAGGATGACGCAAAGACTGCTGTGAGGAGAGGAAAAATAAAATATCCACACTGACTGGCAAGACACAGTGTACTGATACAAAATCTCGTCCTTCTATTAAAAATTCCACTGCACAGCATACAATGTTGAAAAAAGAATTATTTCAAATAGATTACATTGATGCTGAACCTCACTATTTTGAACTGAAATAGTTAAAAAACATTCCTGGGCAACGGTTTTATAGGTATTGAAAACAGTCCTGAGATGTGATGCACATTAACGTCCTACTGACTGACCTAACTTGGTGCTATGGGTCAAGCACTCTGCAGGTGTTTGGGTTGCTTCAGCAAAAATGAAAGATGTCAAACACGAGTTTATATGGACAAGTGCAGCAAACATGCACTTCACTCTGCTTCACCCCAATTACACTCCACGTGTCAATTTTCTGCATCAGACAGAAGTTCACTGTCCAAACATGGTTCAGAAAATTACATCCCAGGTCTCCTACACCAAGTCATCAAAGCCAGGCAATGTTGAAACAAACATTTCTTAAAGGTCCCTTACACCAGGTTAGTATTTGCTTACAAAAAATCAGAGATTCAAGATTTACTGTGGTGTACAGCTAATAGGCGGAGCACTAACATAGGGACTTGGTATCATGTCTGTACCTCCTTGAAGTCCCTCTGGAGGTGATTGGGCTGCTCCTACACCAAGTCATCAAAGCCAGGCAATGTTGAAACAAACATTTCTTAAAGGTCCCTTACACCAGGTTAGTATTTGCTTACAAAAAATCAGAGATTCAAGATTTACTGTGGTGTACAGCTAATAGGCGGAGCACTAACATAGGGACTTGGTATCATGTCTGTACCTCCTTGAAGTCCCTCTGGAGGTGATTGGGCTGCTTATTTAGGCCACAGCATTCCTTTTTTTTTTGGCATGCAAAGCAAGACATGGGTGAATACCAACATTACAGCCCAATCTTAAGAAGTGATTGGAAACTGCACTCTTGAGAGCTACCTACCCAACCCCACAAGAAGCCCTATTATAGATGGAAGAGTGTCAAAGTAACTTATCTTCAGTATCCAATTAGAAGATACAGCCTAGTCTAACCAGCAGACCTTGCTTCAGCCCCTGGTATAGCCAGGTGCCTTCCTTTGAGGCATTAAATAGTCATTTTAGAATCCCAAAGTAAGCAACCTTCAGTCTAATCCTCAGATTAGACCTCAGCTCCTCATCGGAAAAATAACCACACATCCACATATCCTTTAAATGTTGCAAGACCACCTGCATTAGAGACTGTAAGGTGCTGAGGCACAATGCAAACCAGGCAGAGACATGTCAGGAACATTTTTTGCCTGTCTTTACTTATTGTGTATCCTTATTATCCTCTTTTAGGCATACCCTTAGTCATTACCTGACAGTTCTTGCAAGATACAAGATTTGGCACAGATACTGAACATGCAAGTTATTAATAAAAAGGGTTATTTCTCCTTGCAGCACATGCACTGCAAGATTAATTAACATATTTCAAATCAACAAGATGTTATGAATAAAAATAAAAACCCAAACAATTTAACAGAATGGAGAAAAGGCTTATGTGTTAATTCAGTTAGGAAGCAAGTCACTGAGCTGTGTTTCTTATTTGAATAAAAACTAGTATGCTCTTTATTTTCCCGTTACATTAACTCATTTTGTCAAACTGAAGAAATTATCTGCTGTTTCAGAATGGTCCAGTGGTATTACACAAAAGGAGCCTTGGTCTATATCTTTTCACCGTGTTCTAGGTTGGGATTTCAATTCGATGTCCTAGAGACCAATGACATGTTCCTGTCTTTGAAACATCTAGTAAGGAAATAACCCTGAAATCTAAACAAAATCAAAAATCCTAAAGAACACAACTTCAAGTTTCACCCTACACAATTATCTTTTAAATTATTAAAAATGTTTAATAAATGAAATTATTATTATAGTATTATCTCATATTCTCCACATTTCTGTGGATCACACTTTCATCACCAGAATCCCCTAACACTACAACAGACCATTACAATCCCTTCTGGAAAAGGAGGTCAACAATCACAAGTACAAAACCAGAGAACCTTCACTGGCAGCAGTTCTCACACCCATCCTTGTCCTGCATTGTTTTCAAACAGTAAGTTCACAGCAAAGAAATTTCAAGACCTGCTGTCATTGGTCTCTGTCATAAGAGTGCAAAAAAACCTAGAATTTTTTTTTTTTCTCAAGGTAATTCCCAGGAAAAGCACCACTGGTTCAAGTATCTTCTATCAAAATAAGTCTCACCTTTGGCCCATGAGATGATTTCTTCTTCACTTCAGAAAAAGACAGGGAGTTACTGGGAAGGCTGGGGAGATGAAGGCTCTGTCCTGAAGAGAACGATGTGCCATCTGACATCACCATGATCTGTTTTAAGAGGAAAAGCATGTCAATCAAACATTACTGACAAAGACAGAGACAGTCTCACCTGTGTAAGAGCTAGCAAATTATATTGGTAGGAGAATAAAAGTCCAACAAACAGTAACCATGTTTCTTCTCAACAGGGGATGGGTTAATGAAACCACACTGTTAATTAGCTTTCCCCAGGCAGAGTCTGCTTTGCCCATGTCAGTAACTGGTAAGCAAACTCCCTGTCTGTATCCTGACCCATGAGCTTTCCCATCCTATTTTCTGTTGCCCTGTGGAGGAAGTAGAGTGAGTGACCAAGCATCTGGGCTGGAGTTCAGCCCTTAGCCAAGGTTAACTCACCACTGTAAAAACAGACTGAGGTTTCAATGTGAAAGCAGTACATATCTACTTTCAACTTCTAACTTCAGCCTTTTGTGTTACCTGGGTGTAAACTGGGTGGCTGATGAGCACACAGCAATTTTGCTATAAAAAGACTCTAGCTCCCTTTCTTGATTTTAAGGACAGTTAAGTACAAACAGACTATTTCCAGAGACAAGTAAATCAACCGTCACAGAGCAGATACCAGGTACGTAAACATTACGCCTTCCATCCGAGGGAAACCTGGCTAAGACATGTCTTCTGCTCCAGCTATTGTGTCTGGATTTTACTGATTCCTATCACAGCAATTCATTTATCTATTGTTTCGAAGCACTGAATGCCAGGGACAGCTTTCCTGCTGTCTGACAAGCCCTGCAAAGCTGGAGAAGATGCAGAGCTCTGCACCTGCAAGGAAACATCTGTCTCTTCCCACAGGTTCTTATGTATGAAGTCACACTGGTTTTGCTTATGACCTGTGTGCTTACCCTTAGCCCTTCTGATAACCAAAACATCTTCTGACACTAGGGACAGGAATGGGCTGACCCATCACATGCTCCATGCACACTACATTAAAGTAAGAATGGGAAGCACAAAATTGGGAAACCTAGGATGTAGATATATATGCTGTTTTCAACAGTGCAGCTAGAACCCAAAGCCAGAAGGTAATAAAGCTGTTCTCCTTCATTGACCATAGGTTCATGTATTAAAACTACAAAAAAAACCAAAACAAAAAAAAACTTTACAAGTTACTTTTGCAGCCTAACATCTTGTGAAGAAAGATCCCACACAGAGCACCTAACACATTTTCTCCTCAATTCTTCATTTCCATTTCCCAGATGCCTAAACCAGAACCTGCCAAGAGCCAAAACTCTGAAAAATCAGCTGTCGAAAAGCAATGGTGTTGTTTTTACAATCATAATGTTGATAGCAATTAGCAATTGTGAATCACAGCAAGTGATCCTTTAGCCTGACAAATACTTTTTGCCCCTTTGCCAAGGGCTTTGGTTGCATTCAGCCCAGATGAATGCAAGACAAGGCACAAGCTATCAAAGAGCAATTAGCCACAAGGAAAATCTGTAGCCACATGTGCATACCATAAACCTGTGCAATGGGTAGAGAAATTGCATGTCTCTACCATTATTTCCTCTCACAAACTACGTCAAATAGGTAGTTAAATAATACTGGTTTTCAAATTAAACTCTGTAATGTTTTATAAACCCACAAACTTAATAGAACATACCATTTGCATAGAATTAAACCATCTTTCAGAAAAAGCAGACATAAAGTTACCATTAATTACAGAGTTCAAGCAGATATTTTATTGCCCAAAGTAGTTATGTTCATACACTCACATGACAAAAAGATGCATATCCACATGGAAGAGGATCAAAGTTTGCCCTACTCTGAAATTAAAAGCAAAGAAACAAAAAATGCTGCCAAAGATTCTTTCTGCTAGGGTTGGAAGCTGCCCTTTTCTCCCTGAAGCATAAAAGTCTGACTCACTAAAATAAACTGAGGTTTAACCACTGCATAAATTTTCTTTTTAAAATTCAGAAACGTTCCAGTTTAGAAATATTTATATATACATCATTAGACACAGACATTCTTAGAAAGCTGACATTTTAAAAAATGTATGGACTGTTAAGTTATGTCAGGGTTCTGGGCAAGTATTTGGACCATTAACAGTCTCAGTATTAGAGACTGTTTCAAAACAGGATGACAGCCTACAGGGATGAGACGAACAGCATTAGTACCATGTGAGGTCTGATTTGGTAGACCTAGTTACACACAGAGAGAAAAAAATCCCACACAGTTTTCAGAAAACAAAATTGGGACATAGCAAACCATGAGCCCTAAAAATTCCAGTGTATTGAATCCTGCAGCCTACTATTTCATCATAAACCCTATGAAAAATGGCAACTGCAGATTAAAAATTTTAATGTGATTAACAGTGAATGCAGTGAGACAGAGCTTCAGTTCAGACAACAGACTGCACCATGTATAAAAATAAAAGACTGCAGGCTGGGGTAGAATTAACTTTCTTTGCAGTGGCTAGTATGGGGCTATGTTTAGGATTTGTGCTGAACACAGAGTTGATAATGCAGATATGTTTTTGCTATTGCTGAGCAGAGCTCACACAGAGCCAAGGCCTTTGCTCCCTTCCATATTGCCACATTAGCAAGGAGGCTGGGGGTGTATGGGACACTTCTACGCTACGCAAGTAACCATTATGCATGATGGGGCCCTGCTCTCCTGGAGTCACTGAGCACCTCCTGCCCATGGGAAGCAGTGATTTCTTGTTTGAAGACATCCAAGAAAGGCTTGTGTAAAATTAACATTTCGGCCCCTACAATAAAAAACACACCCTTCTCTTCCAAACTGATCTCTGGCAGAAAAAGCAATTGCTACATATTAAAGGCCCCACATCACGAGCATGATGGGGCCCTGCTCTCCTGGAGTCACTGAGCACCTCCTGCCCATGGGAAGCAGTGATTTCTTGTTTGAAGACATCCAAGAAAGGCTTGTGTAAAATTAACATTTCGGCCCCTACAATAAAAAACACACCCTTCTCTTCCAAACTGATCTCTGGCAGAAAAAGCAATTGCTACATATTAAAGGCCCCACATCACGAAAAAAATCATTTGCCTACTCCTTCTTCTCAAATAAAGTTACTATTAACATTAAGTTACTCTTCAGGATAACTTCAATATGTTTGTTTTCTTTGTCAAGATCATCTGTGTAAAAAGTCCCTACATTACAAACACTTTTTTTTTTTTTTAAAATTAAGATGCATTTCCCTTTTGGCTAAATTTAGGAAAGAGACAACTACACATTAAGTTTAAATTTATGGAAAGAGCTCAGCTGAGAGAATTACAGCAATTTCTGCACAGGCTAACTTTGTCCCCACATTAGTTCAACCGAGAAACACACAGACTGACAGATGAACTTCCACCAGCTTTCGGATTAAGTCCCTATTTTTATCTTACTGCTACCCCACTGGCAAGATACGCTGCTTGTGTGGGTGTGTGTGCCTGCCTGGGTATGTGGCTGTATTAAGCCAAGGCTATACAAAAGAAGGAAAAGGTGGCAATGAGCGTTATCACAGCAAGACACTACTTCTGCAGCAAGAATGCAAGCTCATGAAAAGTACAGCAATAGCTCTCCAGTACAGCCATGCTACATGCACCTTTGCTACTTTTTTCCTCCTTCCTGCATTTTAAGTCTCCTGCTAGTTTACAGTTGCCAAGAGGAGTACGCCTCAGTAGATGGGAGGACATGGCTGCAGCCCATGTTTAAGCCAGGCATCCAAGAATACCTGCAGCTGGTACTTGTCTGCTGCCACAATGAATCCCTTCAGTGACAAAACCCAGGAACGTTATTAAGTCTTCTCCTCAGTTCCTTCTAGATGCCAACAGGTCACTGAGATCATACTAACTGGTGGAATAACACAGGAGCACAGGTGTCAAAGAAGCAAGGTTCAAGTTATTTTAAAAAACACATGGATTAGAGTACCTGGTACTGGATAAGCATTAGAAAGATGGCCAAGAGAAATCAGATAGTTTCACAGTGTGTTAACAGGATACAAACAATACAGGAATCACAGGATAGGTTGTACCGAGAAACATATCAAGGGAAGTGACTGTTCCACTCTACTCTGCACTGGTGCAGCCTCACCTCAAGTCCTGTGTGCAGCTCTGGGTGCCTCAGTAGAAGAAGGACATCAGACTATTAGGGTCTGCCCAGAGAAGGACAACAAAGGTGGTGAAAAGCCTTGAGGGCAAGAATTACAAGGAGCAGCTGAGGTCACTTGGCTTGCTCAGCTTGGAGAAGTGAAGGCTGAGGGGTGACTCCACTGCAGACAAGAACTTTCCAAAGGAAGGCAGCAGAGGGGGAGCAGCTGATGTCCTCTCTGGTGATCAGCAAATGGACAGACGGAAATGGAAGGAAGCTGCATCAGAGGAACTTCAGATCGGACATTAGGAAAAGGTTCTTTACTGAAGAGGATGGGTAGGCACTGGAACAGGCTCCCCAGGGAAGTGGTCATGGCATCAAGCCTGCCAGAGTTCAAGGAGAGTCTAGATGACGCCTTTAGTAATATGGTTTAGTTTTAGGTAGTCCTAAGAGGAGCCGGAAGTTGTACTAGATGATCCTTGAAGATCCTCTTTCCAAATAAAATATTCTATGATCCTGTCTATTCACATTGGGTTGGGGTTTTTTTGTCTTGTTTAAAATACAATTTTTAAAAAAATCTTAACTTATGTTGGCGGAAACTTCATAATCCTCATGAACAGAAATTCCTTGCACCCACAGGAAGCAGTTACTGCATGAAGGGACTGACAAAAAGAAATGCTTCTAAAAACAGACAGGCTGTAAAAGGAAGACTAAGGGAAATGTGAACCCACTGTCCAATCGAGCAAGAGACCTCATGACAAAGAATTTGGCTTATGTAGTCAATCTTCTTTTAGCCTCTATTTTCACTGGTAAGATCTTGTTTCTTCCAGCCTCCAAGGTAACTGAGCATCTTCACAGTGTCTGTGGCAATGATTCAGTGCCCGCAAGACAGGACAATTGAGTTAGAGGACATTTCATCCACAGGGACACTGGATGCATGTAGGGGTATTGAAGGAGCTGGCAGTACC